TTTTTTTTTTGGTCAAAGAAAAGTTTATTTAAGGCATCTTTCTTGATTTGAATTCTGTAGAATACTGAGCATATTTGGCCAGCTTCTTTTTCCCTCTTCTTCTTCTACACTCCTTTGCTTCATTTTTCCATGTTGGGGTGATGTGGGGTTATGTCTAGTTCTTCATCTTTTTTTTTTGTCTCTTGTGACAGGGTCTCACTATGTAGCCCAGGGCTGTCCTCCAACTCATGATCTTTCTGCCTCAGCCTCCTGAGTGTGCACCATCACACCCAGCTTAGTTCTCAGTCTTCAAAGCCATTCTTGTGTGTTTTTTTTTTTTTTTTTTTTTTTAATTTCTTGACCTTGAAAATTAGCTTTCAATTGAATAAAACTATCAGGAATATTTGACAGTGAAGAAACTTTAGACAGTTGAAATTCAACTGGGTAGGGGGAGGGGAGCCAGAGAGGCAGGTGGTGTTCCATGGTTTAGGCCATTGTGCAGGTCAGTGGGACATGGCTGGAATCCAAAAGCCTCAGGCTGCTCCAGAGAAGGGAGCGTAGCTAGTATCAGTTACATAGTCAGTCCCTAGTTCTCCAGTTTGGTTATTAGGGAGATAAGAACAATTCAAAAACATGTGGAAAGACTTACAGGAAAGCACACAGACCTTGCTGCAAGGGTTAATATAGGAAAGATTCTGCATCGCATACCTTGATCTAAAATGAGCAGTTCCATGGGGAACTGGGTCACTTAGTGGGAAGGATAAAGGTGATAATTTAGGACGGCAAAGGTAAACCACACGATTTATATATAGGAATGGGGGCTGAATCTTTATAGCTTTTTATGTGATTGGTGTGCAAAGTATAGAGGCAGCCCCTCATTTTCTTTATTGTTTGAGCAGGTGTCCAGGACTAAGCCTGTATGTGTCACCTGCAGTGCCCATCTACAATGCGATTATGTTTCTCTTTGTGCTGGCCAACTTCAGCATGGCCACCTTCATGGACCCAGGGATTTTCCCTCGAGGTAAGGTCTCTCTACTCTCTTGGAAACTCATTGTTGCCTTTAAAAATAGAAAATTACTTGGGCATACACAGTTGATCTTGGCCCTTTAGAGTCTTAGGATTATGGAATACTTTCATAGTCTGACAAGGAAAATTAGGGTAGGGTCTTCAGGAATATATGTTATAACTTCTAGTTATTTGATTCACTTTAGGTCAAATCTTTGGTTTTTCAGTTACTCAGCAGAAATTTATTCAGAACATATGGGGAGCTGGATGTGTTGGCACACATTTGGAACCCCAGTTTTGGGGAGTTTGAGGCAGGAGGATTTTGAGTTTTAGGCTAGCCTGATCTACATAGCGAAGATGCTTAAAAAAAGAAAGAAGAAAAGAAAAAATAACAACAAAAGATGCTCAAAAAACCAAGTGCTAGGGACATAGCTCAGTGGTAGATTGCTTGCCTAGAATGGGCAAGTCTCTGGGTTCGATACCCAGCACTACAAAAAATAAAAATAGAACATACGGGTTGGATGTTGTCAGTAGGTAAAATAATAGTCATGATGAATATGACAGCCATAACTGTGATACAACTAAATGGAGGCATGAGCAAGGTTCTGTGAGAACATAGAAAAAGGCATAGTTGGAGGCCTGGTTTAAGTGATAGTGCACCTGCTTAGTAAGTGTGAAGCCCTGCACTCAAACCCCTGTACTGCAAAAAAAAAAAAAAAAAAAAGAAAAGGCTACAGTTATATCTGCCCAGAGAAATTGGGGAAGTATTCCTTAAAGTGGGTGAGAAAGACTTCACGCGGTAGAAGATGGAAGGGAGGGGCATTTTTAGGCCAAGGAAGCAGCATATACAGAAGCTTGTAGCCATGAAATCGTGAACTTGGGGTTTGGAGGATATCATGCATGGTGAGGCCAGAAAGGACAAGAGCCAAGTTGTGAAGGACTTTACATGCTTAATTAAATGACTCATGCTCAAGTAAATAGATTATACTTCTTTTGACAGCAAGAGGTATTTAATTGGAAGAATCTTGGGATCAGATTTCCTTTTCCAAAAAAATATTTCTGTGAGAATGCATATAGCTTTTGGATGGCTGTCGCAGTAATACAAACCAGATGAGAACTTGAAGTCAAGGCTAAATTTACAGCTTTTTCAAAAGTAGATTCAACAGAAGTGTTCATAGTAGTTCACTTGGGCAGGACAAAAGGGTGAGAACGTCTACTGGTTTGCCACCGTGAATGTGCTCAATCTCTTCTGATCTCAGAAGCTAAACAGCGTTTGGCCTGATTAGTACTTGGATGGGAGAGGGTGAAGTAATTGTATTACTGTAGTTTTCAAGGTTCCTAATTTTTGAGATAACTTGGATGCTGATTTTTATAAACCATGATATAAGTTCTAGGACTATTGAACAGGTTTGGAAGAAAGAGAACACTCTTAGACATACTGATTTTTTTTGTTGTTGTTGTTTTTCCATGCTGGGGATTGAACCCAGGGCCTAGGCAAGTGCTCTATGATTGAGCTATACTCCCAGCCCCAGAATACTGAATTTGAGATACTTATGGGTCATCTAGGTAGACTTAGCCAGTGGACAATTGAGTAGTCAAAAGGTCTTGATTTAGGAATCTTCAGCCATGTAGTGTTTGAAAGCAACAGGAATAAGATTGTCTAGAAAAAGTACTGTGAGAATAGTAGGGAACCAAGGTCAAATCTGATCATCATTGACATTTTTACTATGAACAGAAGAGGAAGAAGTTATTAAAGAAAGATTGAACAAGAAGGGTTAGTAGGAGAAAAAAATGGGGCAAACTGACAACTAAGGAAAGTTCATGAGATAGTTGACCATTGGCAGTATCAGAAATTAAGAGAGATCCAATATGAAATTCAAAACTTCCCATTGTTTTGATACTAAGAAATAATTGATCTCAACAACATTTTTTTTTTTTTCCCCAGTACTGGGGTTTGAATTCAGGGCTTATACCTTGAGCCACTCTACCAGGCCTTTTTTGTGATAGATTTTTTTTGAGATAAGGTCTTTTGAACTATTTGCCTGGGTTGAGTTCTAACCGAGACCCTCCTGATCTCTGCCTCCTTAGTAGCTAGGATTACAGGTGTGAGTCACTAGTGACTGGCAATGTGAATATCTATATCTATATATATATATTTTGTGGTACTGGGGTTTGAACTCAGGGTCTCATGCTTGCCAGGCAGGCACTCTACCACTTGAGCCACTCAGGGGTGGGGTTTGAACTCAGGGCTTACCACTTGCAAAGCAGGGGCTCTACCACTTGACCTCACACCTCCAATCCAAGAATAGTTTTAGTAGTGTATTTGTGTGTATATTAGGAAGAGATACAACTGAATTATAATGGTTTGGAAGGCAGTGAAAGGGAAATGAGGAAGCAAAGTCAGCAAGTTTTAGTTTTCCTCTTTAAGGAAGAAGGCAGAGGATGTAGTAATATTTTATGGGACAAGTGAGGAGTATTTTTTTAGGGTTCAGAAGACTTGAGCATGTTTGTAGCATGAGAAGAGAACCAGGGAAGAGCGCAAAGCTGATGTTGAAGGAAGGGGAAAACCGAAAGTGAACTTGTAGAGAAGCGGAATGCTGTCCCGCATATTGAAAGGTCATACTCATGGAAAAAGTAGGCTGTTCCTGGAATAGTAGGTGAAAGTAAGAACCATCATGATTGGAATAGAGCCGGAAAGAAAAGAAACTAACAGATGTTGCTAACGACATCTAATTTTCTTTCAAATATAAGATTACTTTGTAAGAGTGAGAAGGGTGGTATTAGATAGCAGTGCTGATGAGATGAGGTTTTTCTGAAATTCATTGTTCTTGTAAACCATGCATCAGAGTGATTCACTATTTGTGACTTCTGTGAGGGGGAAGGAACATTGTGTTTCTAAAGCCAAGGAGGGATATTTTAGTGAGCCTTTAATGTTCAGTCATCAAATATTTAGTGGTATACTATATGGAAGGCACTGTGGTGATCATTTGGGATGATATATTTTTTTTTTTTTTAAAAAAAAGGTCATTGCTTTAAAATAGCTCAGTCTAGAGAGGAAGATGGAAAAGACTATGTATTTATTTAGGTATTTTTGAGACAGGGTCTTATTACATAGCCTAGGCTGGCCTGGAACTTGCTATATTGCTCAGGCTGGCCTAGAACTCTTGGTCCTCCTGACTCAGCCTTCTGAGTACTGGAATTACAGGTGTGGTTACCACGTCACACACATACTCACTATTGTATTTATTATTTAGGAAGTATTAAAAAGATAAATGTCACCTGTGATTTTACAGCACAAACATAACTATTGTGTTGTGGCATTTTTCCTTCTAGTATTGAGTTCTAGGCCAGTCTGAGCCTAGACTTTAAAAAAAAAAAAAAAAAGTTCGAGTATTTTGAAGATTTTTTTTTTGGACTGGAGGTGTGGCTCAATCGGTAGAATGCCTGTTTTGCAAGTGTGAAGTCCTGAGTTCAAACCTCAATCCCACAAAAAAAAAAAAAATGCATTTGCCACCAATGTTTGAACAGGGAAAGTGGTGGTGATGGGGGTGGTGGTACCCAATGTACAGTGTAAGCCCATTCATAATTGTCACTGTGAGTCTCCCCATACAACAACTGTTTATCCTAATAAAAAAGAAAAAACATCTTTTTTTAACTGTGTTAGGAATCAAACTCAGGGCCTTGCACATGTTAGGCATGTACTCTACCACTGAGCTACACCCCTTACCTAAAGATTTTATACATACATACATATATATGTACATATATGACTATTTACATTTATTTATATATACTACATAGCTGTAGTAGCATGACTTTTTTTTCCTGGAGTTAGGGATCAAACCCAGGGTAGGCTAGAGCTCTACCACTGAGCTACATCCCTTTCTATTTTTATATTTTCAAAGTGAGATCTTCCTATTTGCATTGCTCTTTACCTTGCATTTTTTTCATTTATTTATATTGTAGGCATTTCTCCAAGACAGTAAAATTTGAAAACTTTTTTTTTTTGTTAACCTAGGGACTTGTGCATGCTAGGTAGGTGCTTTGGGCAAGTGCTCTACACTGGGCCACATCCCAGTCCTTTTTGTTTTGTTTGAGACAGGGTCTCATTGTGTAGCTCAGACAGGCCATGAATTTGCTCTGCAGTTACCCAGCCATTTTTTTATTTTGAGACATCATCTTGTTAAGTTGCCCAGGCTGGCTTTGAACTGCCCAGGCAGGCCTCAAACTTTTGATACTCCTGCTTCAGCCTCTCAAGTTCGGGATTACAAGCATGTACCATCTTGTCTGACTGGAAACTTAATTTTTTTTTTTTTTGGTGGTGGAGGTACTGGGGATTTGAACTCAGGGCTTCCTGCTTGCCAGGGCTTGGCACTCTACCACTTGAGCCACTTTGCCAACCCTTTTTTTGTGTTTGTGTTGGGTGTTTTTGAGATAGGATCCCCAGAACTGTTTGCTCTGGCTGGCTTTGAACCGCAATCTTCCTGATCTCTGCCTCCTGAGTAGCTAGGATTACAGGTATGAGCCACTGGTGCCAGCTGATAATTTTTAATCCCTACATCTCACTTATTTTTCCTTTCCATATGTATTTTTTTCTAGATTAATAGTAATTTGAGAGGACAAGTAATATCCTTTAAGTTTTGAAATGGGATGGTTTCTGATAGGTGAAAATTGAGAGGAAGAACATTCAGGGCTTGAGCAATATTTATGAATAAAATAATAGAGTAAGGAAAGCCGTTTGAGGCAAAGGATTTTTGTGTGGGAAAAGGTTAATGCTAGTTCCTCTCTTGGATTTTTGTAGCTCAGTCATGTAGTTGTAGGTATTGAACTACTGTGCAAACTCATCATATATATACATATGTGTGTGTACATATATAAATTATGATATGTAATTTATCTTTTACAAGTGTTCATAAAATGTAGATCAAAGAATGTCAGCATATACATATCGGAGCTACCTCGTGAATTTTTTTTTTTTCTTGGCAGTACTGGGGTTTGAACTCTTGCTAGGTGCCAGGCAGGCACTCTACCACTTGAGCCATTCTGCTAGCCCCGAATCATTTTCTCTTGAACCTCACTTCCCAACACAGCTTCCTCATCTGTGTTCCTATAATGTATAGTGTTGATCTCATAGTACTATGTTACTAGTTCCTGCTCTTTTTCACCCATTAGACTGAATTCCTCAAAGACAGAAGCCATACCTTCAGTATGTATCATTTACTAACTAGAGTTTTAGCATAGTTTTTTTTAAATCTAGACTGGGGTTTGAAGTCAGGGCCATATGCTTGCTAGGCAGGTACTCTACACCTTAAGCCATGCCCCCAGCCCTTTTTATTTTACTTATTTTTTGAACAGGGTGTCACGTTTATGCCTCGGCTGGCCTGGACTTTTTATGTTTATATCCCTGCGTAGCTGGGGTGACCAGTGGGAGCCACCACGCCCAGCTTTACTGGTTAAGAATGGGGTCTTGCAAACTTTTTTGCCCAGGTGGCTTCGAACCTCCATCCTCCTGATCTCTACCTCTGGAGGTAGCTGGGATTATAGGCATGAGCCACTGTGCCTAGTGGCATAGTTGTTTTTTAATTGACTTTTCCTCTCTTTAGCTGAGGAGGATGAAGACAAAGAAGATGACTTCCGAGCTCCTCTTTACAAAACAGTGGAGATCAAGGGCATCCAGGTGCGCATGAAATGGTGTGCCACCTGTCGCTTTTACCGTCCTCCTCGATGTTCCCACTGCAGTGTTTGTGACAACTGTGTGGAGGTAAGAAGACTGGGTGGTAAGACTCAGTGCCCTTCCTAAGTTGTCTTCTTCCTAACTATAGAATAGATTCTTGTCCTTGAATGAAGTGAATTCCTGGCTAACTGCCTAGGCTGCATGGTCAGTTTAGCTCTGTTGAAAGGTGCTAGCAATGAAGTACACATGAGAACCGGAGTATGAATACTCTGTTACCACATGAGGAAAGTTTGATCCCCAAGTGAATATAAGCTTTCCTGACACCAAGATTCAGAGTTCTAGCCTTCCCTCTTTTGGTTATCTTTTAGTTTATTATCTTGCTTTATATTATCTCTTGCTTCTACAGAATCATGCTGTTGAATTCAAACTTCAGTTTGTTTTCCTAGCTGTCCTTCTGAATCCTTTCTCTTATTTTTAACCCTTTTTTTTTTTCAGTTCATTTATACTTAGCTATAAGCAGTTACCTGCCTGATTTTCCTTCCAAAGCCTCTTTTTTCATGAATCTTGAATGTTTTGCAAATAAATTCTTTGACATTCATCCCTTTTAAAGTTCCTTGCTCACATAAGATTAACTTTTGAAAACTTGGCCTTTAGCTTATCTCTAGGAGGTCTCCCTTACAGAAAATATAGAACAAGAGAAACTGCTTGAGCTTGTTTTTAAGTTTGCAACTGAATGGTAGATGTGATCATAATTACTAAAATTAAAAATAAAAGTTCTTCCATTTGTTCCTCTTTTTGACAGAAGTGAGCTAATGTTGTGGTTCAAAGATGTCTCTCAGTCTGTCTCTTTTTACCCCTAGGAATTTGATCATCACTGCCCTTGGGTGAACAACTGTATCGGTCGCAGGAACTACCGTTATTTCTTCCTCTTCCTCCTTTCCTTGACAGCCCACATTATGGGTGTGTTTGGCTTTGGCCTCCTTTATGTCCTCTACCACATAGAGGAACTCTCAGGGGTCCGCACGGCTGTCACGTATCCTTCAAGGTCTTTGGGTTGTGGGATTGGGCTGAGGAAGAAAGGAAAATTGAGTCCTGAAGTGGGGAAGGAAAGGGAAAATGGCCACAGTAGGGTTGGGGAAGGTGAGATAACATCGCTGTGTTCTCCTTGACTGTTTGGCATCAGAATGGCAGTGATGTGTGTGGCTGGCTTATTCTTCATCCCTGTAGCTGGCCTCACGGGATTTCATGTGGTGCTGGTGGCTAGGGGACGCACAACCAATGAACAGGTATGGGGAGAAGTGATAAGAAACCCTGAAGAGCAGAGCCATATATCAAGCCCTCTGATTAGTGTATAGCATAGTGCTTCCACAAATAGAGGCTTAATGAATACTGTATATCATGGTGCAGAGGTTAGTGGTAGGGGGTGAGGTAGGCTTAGGTCCTCAATAAGCATTAGAGCAAAGCCAGGCATGGAAGTGTACACCAAAACCACCACCAAAAAAAAAAAAACTAGATAGGAATACATCAGTAACACTTTGTTGACTCTAGGCCAAGTGATCTGCATTTTTTTAGAATTCCTCTTGGCAAGCTGGGTGTGGTGGTGGCACTTGGCCTCTAATCTCAGCACTTGGGAGGAGGTGATAGAAGGATCGAGTTCAAGGCCAGCCAGCCTGGTCTACATAGCAAGACACTGTCTAAATCAAAAAAGAAAAAGAAAAGGCATGAAAATAGAGGCTATTTCTTAGTTAACAAACATTTACTTTATGTTCACTGTGTACTGGGCAATTTAGGCTCTGAGTTTATACAAATAATGAGTTGAGACAGCCCTACAGAAGCTGATAGTAGAGGCCTGGCTCAAGCAGTAGAGCACCTGCTTTGCACATTTGAAGCTCTTGAGTTCAAACCCCAGTCCCAACAAAAGAAAAAAGAAAAAAGAAAAAAAATACAGTACCACTTAAAAATACTAGTTTTGTATACGTAATAGTAGCTAATCTTAACTGCTTAGTCTTACTTACACAGTCAGCCTTTTGTATCTTTAGATTCTACATCTATGGATTCAGCCAACTGTAGATGGAATATATGTGGGGGAAAAAGTGTATCTGCTTTTTTTAAAAATTATTTTTGTGGTGACACTGGGGTTTGAACTCAGGGCGCTGAATTCAGTACTTGCTAGGCAGGTGCTTTTACCACTTGAGCCACTTCGCCAGCACATCTGTGCTAAAAATGTACAAATGTTTTTCTTGTCATTATACCTAACTAATGTAACTAATTGTGTCAGGTAAGTATACGTAATCGGGAGCTAATTTAGAATATATGAGATATGTATAGGTTATATGCAAGTAACACTTTTATATAAGGGACTTGACCACCTGTGGATTATCTTATTGTTCAAATTCATAAAGCTACTTAGCCCATTTTACACAAGGAAACTGATGTTTAGGATCAGACAGCTACAATGAGATAGACCTAGGATTTAAACTTGAGGACCCTGACTCTGGAGTACCTGTTCTTAACAAGTATAAGCTGCTTGATGGTAGGTTTGTGTTCTGTTCATCTTTGTATCCCCCAGGTAGTGGGTATACAATAATTTGCTGTTTATTTATGCTTTGGCTTTTGGAGATCAAAGTCCAGTAGTCTGACTGATCTGGTTCTTTTTTCCCTCCTTCTAGGTTACGGGTAAATTCCGGGGAGGTGTGAACCCCTTTACCAATGGCTGCTGTAACAATGTCAGCCATGTACTCTGCAGTTCTCCAGCACCCAGGTACATCTACCCTTTGGACTATTGTTCGCACTTGGTCAAACTTTTGTCTCCTTTTGGCTTACTCTGGTGTAGGGGAAATCTGGTGAGAGACAGATTTTTAGGATGGGTTCCATCTTAGAATGATAATTGCTGCAAGAGAGAGACTTGGCCATTCTTTGGTACATCGTGTGAATTCAATTGATACTCTTTGGGTATTATGGCTAAACTCCTTTGAGGGTTAGGATCAGTATGATTTACTCCAGAGTGCCTTGAACTAGGTACCTGCTCATAAAGGCTTAGTTTTTCTGCAGATCTTCATGGAATCAAGTCAGTTTAGTGCTAACCTTTCTACTAGCCTGGTGGTACTGGGGTTTTTTTGGTGCTGGAGATTGAGTGTAGGGCCTTGCTCTTGTATAACTGAGCTACATCCTAGCCCAGGACTATTTCTTATATTTGTAAAATGCTTGACATGTAATGGCAACTTGTAGATATTTTTTAATTAAATGAATAAATGAGAATCTTGTCACTCTTGATACTTAGGTATTTGGGGAGACCAAAGAAAGAGAAGACAATTGTAATTAGACCTCCTTTCCTTCGACCAGAAGTGTCAGATGGACAGATAACTGTGAAGATCATGGATAATGGAATTCAGGGAGAGCTAAGGAGATCGAAGGTGAGGAATTAGGGTAAAGCTAGGTAATTTGAGGAATCTCTCCATGGCAGAGACGGAAACTTGTTTAGTTTACATCTTTCTTACAGGATCACTTACTGATTTGTGTTTAAAAAAATCACTTAAATATAAATCTTCTCTGTTAGATTTTTAAGTTCAGTGACAATAGACATTGAGTCATTTCCATGTCTTCATCAGCTGACAGATGGTAGGAGCTCAATAAATACATTGAAATGAACAAATAAGTGACAGAATTAAGCTCTCATTGGAAACTTTATCCATTACTAGCCTCAAATTGACTCTTGGTGCTCTCTAATACCTATCTGACAGTTTCATATTTGAGTTACCCTAATGCCCAGTTCTCCAAGTCTTGGTTTTCCTTCCCCCCATTTCTAGTCTAAGGGAAGCCTGGAGATAACAGAAAGCCAGTCTGCAGATGCAGAACCTCCACCTCCTCCTAAGCCGGACCTGAGCCGTTACACAGGGCTACGAACACACCTCAGCCTGGCTACTAATGAGGGTAAGAGTTGCCTTGATCTTTGAGATCCTAGAATCAGAGGTAGGAGAACATTAGCTGTAAAGATTTCCTAGGAGACATAATTTGTGTTGTGGCTGAGAATTCTCAACAGGTGGCTCCTGTGCAGGTTTTTTTTTTTTTTTTAATAGAAGAGGAGGGATTGTAGCAGTTGGCAGTGCACTAGACTTTTGAGGGAAAAACTGTCAGCCTTTAGAGACCCCAGATAACTTCCAAAGATGTTTGTTGTATTCACCTTTCCTGAGTTCTGAATTAGTATGAGTCTTCTGTCTTGATTTCAGCAAAATTATGTTCCCTAGATTTTCCTTTTGCTGTGTCTGTCTGTTCCTGCCTGTTCTTCCCCTATACTAGGAGTCCTAGGAAGATTAGGAGAACAGCTTGTAAAGTATTGCTCTCTGGGCATTTTTTCTCCTGCAGATAGTAGCCTCTTGGGCAAGGACAGCCCCCCCACACCTACCATGTACAAGTATCGGCCAGGTTACAGTAGCAGCAGTACATCAGCCGCCATGCCTCATTCCTCCAGCGCCAAGGTACTGTGTACTCTTAAGAAGTGGGGACATAACATATGACAATTCTTTTTAGGAAGAAGAAGCTGGGGGTGGGGAGGAAAAAGCAGAAGGGAAGAGAAGAAAACCAAGGGCATTTTACTAATTGTTTATATTAGGGGAATTGAATTTCTGTTACAGTATGTTCTTCATCAAAGAAAAAGCAGAAAAAGCAGTGTGGCCTAGATAAAAGCAATAATTATATACAGTGTTAGATCTGATTTTTAAAACCCAGTTCTGCCACCATGGGCAAGTTAGTTTCTCTAAGCTTCATTTTCTGCATCTTAAAATGATTTTATTTGTTAAGACTTACAGATTTGCTTAGGGGTTAAACCAGATAATACATGTAAAAGTTCTAAGCATACTGTTTGCAAATAATTCTGATTGTTTTTTGAGACAAACACAGTGAAGCCCAGACTGGTCTGGAACTCACTGGGTAGCCCAGGTTGGCCTTGAACTTGAATCCTCCTGTCTCAGCCTCCTGAGTGCTGAGATTACAGGCATGCACTATACCTGGCTATAATTTTTTTTCTCCCTGGGCTCCGAGGTCTAACATTTGTCACAAGAGGAGCATTAAGAGTGCTTTACTTTTCTTCCTCAGTTAAGTCGTGGAGACAGCTTGAAGGAGCCAACCTCAATTGCTGAAAGCAGCCGCCATCCCAGCTACCGTTCAGAGCCCAGCTTGGAGCCAGACAGTTTCCGGTCTCCCACCTTTGGCAAAAGCTTTCACTTCGATCCACTATCCAGTGGCTCACGCTCTTCCAGCCTTAAGTCAGCCCAGGGCACAGGCTTTGAGCTGGGCCAGTTGCAGTCCATCCGTTCAGAAGGCACCACCTCCACGTCCTATAAAAGTCTGGCTAACCAGACACGCAATGGAAGCCTGTCTTATGACAGCCTACTCACTCCTTCAGACAGCCCTGATTTTGAGTCAGTGCAGGCAGGGCCTGAGCCAGATCCACCTTTAGGCTACACCTCTCCCTTCCTGTCAGCCCGGCTGGCCCAGCAACGGGAAGCCGAGAGGCACCCACGTTTGGTGCCAACCGGCCCAACACATCGAGAGCCCTCACCAGTCCGTTATGACAATCTGTCACGCCACATTGTGGCCTCCCTCCAGGAACGAGAGAAGCTGCTACGCCAGTCACCCCCACTTGCAGGCCGTGAGGAAGACCCAGGCTTGGGGGACTCGGGCATTCAATCAACACCAGGCTCAGGCCATGCCCCTCGTACTAGTTCTTCCTCAGATGATTCGAAGAGATCACCTTTGGGCAAGACTCCTCTGGGACGCCCAGCTGTCCCCCGTTTTGGCAAACCAGATGGGCTAAGGGGCCGGGGAGTAGGGTCTCCTGAACCAGGCCCAACTGCTCCATACTTGGGCCGATCTATGTCTTATAGCCAAAAAGCCCCACCTGGTGTCTCTGAGACGGAGGAAGTGGCCTTGCAGCCATTACTGACACCCAAGTAAGTATTAGTCCCATCTTAGCCCTTGGCAAACTTAATTAGCATTTACCCGTGAAGAATGTATCAGGGTTCTGCTTGTACATCATTCTAGTGTAGGTGGACCCAAGGGTATCCTGAGCTTTTCATTTTCACTCAGCTCTTTCATGGGCAATTCCTCTTTAGAGATTGAAGATTAACACTTTTCCCTTAATGCTATCTCCCGAAAAGTATTATTTGCCTGAGGGTAAGAGTACGAGATTGTTGCTGTTAGAGAGGAATAAATTGGGGAAGCCAGGGAATCAGGCTGTGTTAAACACAGCAGTAAAACAGAAGGGTCTGTTTGGGTAAGAATATATGCATATGGAAAGTACATTTTTTCCCCTTCCTAACCAAGTTTAAACTTGGTTTAAAACTCTTTCTGTGTTTTGTGCTCCTTTTTCTGATATCTGTCTTTTCTTTTCTTCCCAGAGATGAAGTACAGCTCAAGACCACCTACAGCAAATCCAATGGGCAGCCCAAGAGTATAGGCTCGGCCTCCCCTGGCCCAGGCCAGCCACCTCTCAGTAGCCCCACAAGGGGCGGAGTCAAGAAGGTGTCAGGGGTGGGTGGTACCACCTATGAGATTTCAGTGTGAGCCTTCGGCGCCTTTCCTTCCCCATGCCTCTGCGCCAACACCAAAGGGCCCCAGGTGGCCACCTTCCTTCCCTCAAGGGGTTCCCCTACCCTGAATGGACATTTTTAGACCACTGATTCCAAGAGGATGAGGAGCGTTTTATAAAATGCCACAGGGTTGGGGAGTCGGAGAGTTGGGGCCCTGAGACTGGGGTAACCCCCTTTTACCTTTTAAGACCTTTCCTTCCCTTCTTAATCCCTGGACCAGACTCAGTGGACATTTGTGCAATTGCTCGCCCTGGAGGGAACCAGATCATTTTTAAACCAGAAATAATTTTTTTTATTATTGTTACGGATTCTATTTTTTTCCTCTTCTGCGTTACCAGGTGTGTGTGTACATATATATATATATATATATATATATATATATTATAAATATCAAAGAAATTATATATCCTGGGATGGGAGAATGAGGGAGGGATATATATAGATATATAGATATATCTATATATATCTATATATATAAGGAGGGGGATTTTATTCTTCTCTTTCCTTAGACCAGCAGGAAAAAAAGGAGAGACATGGAAATCTTCCTTTTTCCCATGGTTCCCTCCATTTTGTCCCAGTTACCAACTAAAGAAATAGCACCTCCTGTTGGTGCTAAAGTGATTAGGGAAGAAACTTGGGGAGAGGTGAGTCTGGGGTCTTTGTCAGAGGAGGGAAGGACTTGGAGAGGACAGTTAATTTTCTAGGCTCATTGGCATCTAGTTTCCCTAGGAAAGGGGTTGCAGCTCCATGACATTGGTGGTGGTGGGAGGGATCAGGAAGAGAGCTTGGCCTAATTTAAGAAGTAATATGGGATAATCCTCCATTCTTGGGGGAGAGAGATTAGGGTGGGCTTCTTCATTGAGCCCCTCAAAGCTTCCCTGTAGCTTACATGGCTGAAGTGATTTTAAAATCTAAGGCCAAGAGACGAATCCAAAAAGCAATATTTTTCATCACATGCCAAAAATGGGATTGAGAGAAGGAGTGGCAGGCTTAGGCCCCTCCGATTGTCCCTTGGGGGTTACCCCTCAGCCCACCTCATGTATGGTGCTGGGTAGAGGGGATACCTGGGTTCTAACCTCTAAACAGAGAAGACCCCAGCCTCTACAGAGAGGCCCTTTTATTTTTTATTCTGATTAGCCATTTTAAACCGACAAGGAATAAAAACAAATCCTGATCTAACAGCTCCCACTGGCTTGTGTTGTTTTGTCTGGTTAAGGCAGGGTGAATGATCTCTGGTGGGAAGTCATCACAAAGAAAACCTTAGCCGGGTGCCTTTGGCTTATGCCTATAATCCTAGCTTCTCAGGAGGCAGAGATCAGGAAGATTGTGATTTGAAGCCAGCCTGAGCAAAATAATTTGTGAGAAAAATCTTGAAAAAAAAAAAATTACAAAAAAGGGCTGGTGGGAAAAACAAAACAAAAATCTTTTTAAGTTTCTCTCGTCCCAGCCCATCTTTAGGCAGGTAGAACATTAACTGTAACAACAGGTCCTGCTTTTATTTGGATGGTTTAATTAAAAAATTTTTGAACAATCTTTCGTAACATGAAAACTTACCATTTCAAAGCTTAGAGAACTCAACTTGTGTCAGTTGTTCCTTAATTCTGTATCCAGAAAGTAAGGCTCCTTCTGAATAGTCAAAAGCAAGGCAGTAATCAAGGCATGGAAGCTTGGTAGGTTGACAAGATACAGGTGGCAGTTCATTTATCATATACTGTCTTCTACTTGTCGAAAGCAAAAGGTTGTGCCCTAATTTTCAACAGGCATCCTCAAATACTAGATCTCAGGAAACAGAACTGAACCTTTTGTTTTCATTGTCCATAACTTTATAAACTCTTGTTCTGAAGTCCTGTATTAAAGGGAACTGAGTGAGTGGTTTTCTGCCTACTGATCTTAAGGAGAGCGGTGCATAGCAACAGATTTTAATAGTTCTCTGTTAGATTACATTAGTTCAAGTTTTCTCATAGATGTTTTTAGTTACTTGGCCTGCTACAAAAAGTAAAGGGATTTTTGTTATAGTTTGATGTCTGTCTCAGGGTGCCTTTTTTGTTGCTGTCTTAGAAGTTTAGAAATATTTTCACAATAGCCAAATTAATTGTTTTATCTAAGGTGTAAAGCAGGTTAAACGTTTACCTTTGCTTGCCAGAGGTTCATTCCAAAAGATCACAGGCTTCTGACCTAAGAACCAATCTTGTTGAAATACACTGGTGATTGTAGGTGCTTTTTCAGCTGGCTATGCTGTTTCCACACAAAACTGATCTAGAACATGTAGTTGAACATGGAGTTGGAGCAGCTCTTCAGACAGAGCCTGAAGATAACCAGGTGCCTGGCTCTCAATGTTACAGGCAGAGTTGTCACACATCTGCTGTGGGAAAGTGTCAAAGCTGCCTCACTGTGGACCGTGTACCTTAATCTCATTTGGTTGTTCCCTGGCCTGTTAATGAGGTAGTATCATGACCCACATCCCTCATCTTAGCACTGCCTTGTCTTAACTTGATTCTCATAGAAAGGCACTTACCTCTTAACAGGCAGCCACACTTCAGTCAGTTTGATAAATGCAAAAACAATTTTTTTTTTAAAGAAAAACTGACAAATCAAGTCCTGGTATCAGACAAACTGCACAAAAGAAAAAAGAAATAGAAAGCTTCCTGGGAGAGGAAGAAATGTCTGTGAGAAAACCAACTAGGCTACCCTTACAAATCATGGCCCTTCTTTCTCCTAATGTACATTGATCTTAATCAAGCACAGCAGGAGCTTGCTCCTGTACCAGCTGCTGGGAGCCTCCAAGGCAGTGTCCAAGAACCTGGTAAACAGCTTTTGTCAGCAGGTTCAATACAGCAGGAAAAGCCATCCTGGCAGAGTCCAGTGATCCTGTTAGCGGAGGCTACTGCTGCTGCTGGCTTGAGAGCTGCCCATACCTGGGTGGTCTGGACTGTGTCGGTTCTGGGGGAGAGAATGACAGGTGAGAACATTTAGGAGCTAGCCTTGGCCTTAATCAGTACTGTAAGAAAAGCTGCAATCTGCTCTGGATTTTCAGTCTTGGGTCCAACCTGAAGCGAAGGATTACTAAAGGAAGGGTAAAATAAAGGGAAACTCATTAGGCTGTGGCAAAAGGTCTCTACCCTTACCTTCTTTTTCTTCTTCTCTTTCTTCTTCTTTTTCCGTTCAGGATCCTCTTCTTTTTTCTTTTTCTTCTTCTTGTGATCTGAATCAGATGGTGTTTCTGTAGGAGACATTAGATGCCTTTTACCTGTACAGTTCAAAATCCTCTACTGCTAGGAATTCTGAAAGCTGCAGGAAACCTCATGTCAGGGGCAATTGGTTTTTTTTCCCCCAAATAGCCAGATAGAATACTGAGGTGCTGCTAGAGCTCCTAGGCCAAGTCCCTACTTGCTCAAAAGACCCTGGTATGTCAGTTTCTCCTTCAGGTGAATTTGGGAGTCTAGAGCTCTTATAAGGAACTTAGCTGGGTATAGGTGGTAGACAAAACCAGATTCAGAAGATCAGGTCGTCTTGCATTGTATAGAACTGCTGCTTACCTGGGGGGACAGGATCCTGGGTACGGCTCTGTTTGTGCTTATGTTTACTCTTCTTGGGTGGCTGAATGTGCATCAGACGACACTGCTCTGGCAACTGAAGGAACCAAAGGAAGGTCCACATGAGTAGGGAAGAAATCCTCTGCTCCTATCATCTGTTCTGCTCAGTAAATTATGAAGGAACAGACTTGGATAGAAAACCACCTCCATGCCTTTTAGGCCTCCCCATTTGCCTTCTTCCTCCCAAGAGGGGACTCACCGGGCCAGTGTGGAGGCGGAAGCCAGACATCATGGTCCCTGTGATAGGATTAAAAGAGCCACCAAGAATGGGGGGCTTCTCAATGAGGGAGCGGAGGCTGCTGTTATCATGGGAGCCAGGCAGATCAATCATCCCTGGCAGGTCAGGTAGGAAATTACTTAGCTTCTCCTTCACCTTCTTTCCACAGAATTTATTATAGGCATGTTCCAGGTTGTAGTGTGTGATGAGGTTGGTGCTGCCTGTCAGCTCTGTGCTACCTAGAGAACAATAATAAAAAAAAATCAGTACCAAAAGCTGAGAAATTTTTTTTTGTCATTGATCCAGAGGAACAGTGAAGAACTATATTTTAACCTAAATAAGGAATTAAGAATTAAAAATTTTTACAATCTTTTTGTCCCCTTCTAGCAGTAAAGGGGTTTGAACTCAGGCCTCACACCCCCTAGGCAAGCTATGCCTCCAGCCCAGAGAATTATAGTTTTAAATTTACTTGTGTAAGAAACAGCAAAAGTAGCTGGGCATCAGTGGCTCACGCCTGTAATCCTAGCTGCTCAGGAGACAGAGATCAGAAGATCGAGGTTTGAAGCCATTTGGGGCAGATAGTTTGAGAGACCCTATCTGCAAAAACCCATCACAAAAAAGAGCAGGTAGAGTGACTCCAGGTGCAGGTCCTGAGTTCAAACTCCAGTACCACAAAAAAACAAAACAAAACAAAAAAAAACAGCAAAAGTAAGTACAGGTTGAACATTCCTGATCTGAAATTCTGTGAAATCTGAAACTGAGTAGCTGCCTAGCAAATGCAAAGTCCTGAGTTCAAACCTCAGTATAGTCAAAGAGAAAAAGTTTCAGATTTTGGGATGCTCAACTGGTAAAACTTACGAAAATACCCCAAAATCTAAAAGGCTCTGGAATTTGAAACACTCTCTACCCAGTGTATTTTGGATAAAGAACACTCAACCTGTAGTAACATAATAGGAGGGTGTGGTATGCACCTGTAATTCCAGCACTGGGAGGCTGAGGCAGGAAGATCACAGTTCAAGGCCAGTTTGGTCTTCATAACTACCTAACAAGATCCTGTCTCTCTCCCCCTTACCCCCTCAGAGAACACAGAAGAATGGGAAGGCAGAAAAAAGGCAAAAGCCTAAGTAGGGCCAAGATGGAAACTGCTGTAGCTGACAGAGACATTCCACTCTCCTTGAACTAACTAGAATAACTTACATAACACTGTACTCAACACTGCTCCGAGTAATTTTCATAAAATGTTCCAGTAAGGAATTATTTTCTCTGACACAACACTAAAAGCCAAATGTGACCCAGTGACAAGGTCTTGTCAAGGCTCTGTTTGTTGACTTTTATTTTGTTTCTGTTTCCTTTTTAATAGCAAGAAACACTAGTCACTTTTACACAGAAAAAACAAGATTTTTCTCGCCATGACTACCTAACTTGTTACCAACATTTCTATTCTTCATGCATTGTCTTGAAGGAAGATATGCTCAATCAAGCCAAGCAATTATTCTAATTCTGTCTTCTAGTTTCCTCGTGGCTGTGTAATGGGACAATGCTCCATCATTTTTTTTAAGGCTCAAGGATACACATACCGAAAAGTATGAAATACACAGACACACGGCATTAGCAATATAAATACTGCATGGCTGACTCGCTTCAAAGAGCATAACCTTACTAACAACAGGATCCAGTAGCAAGTATGGAAGTATCTTTAACCTATAGCTTCACTGGTAAATTATAATGTCCAGATAGTACAAATGACAAAAGTGGCTTGTTTATAATCATTCACTTGGGAAAACTAAGATTCAGAAATGTAAGCCACTTGAGGGCAGAGACAATGTCTTGTTCATGAATTATTAGTACCTGAACTACTCATGTTTATTAAATGAATAAGTACCTTTCCTTTATATCTGGGTCTTACTGCACTCTTTCCTTCTTTTTATTGCCAGACGTTTCAGAAGAGTGGTCTACTGTAACGGCAGCATCACAGTACCTTGCCTCATAACTTCTTTGGGCATTCCCTTCTGCTGTTACAGTCTCCTGACATTTTCCACTTGTCTACCAGCTCACCTTTCAGGAGGTTATGCTTAATTTTAAGGCTCAGGTGAGAAGGCACTTGGTGTTTTTTCAAATCTGTAAAGAAGAGTTCAACTTCCTGTTTTGACTATTAGTTCTATGAAGATGATTTATAAATCGCTCTCCCTAGCCTGACTCCTCTCTTGAAAATGAATTTTGCATTGCTAAGTTCCTAGTCAACTCCATGTAGATTCTGATTTTTTTTCCTTTGAAATTCCAGATCTTGCCCACATCACT